TTTGCCAACGGGGAAGATCAAGTCTGTCCTGCACACCTCTAGGACTACTGTGTGTTGACTATGGAGTCCATGCCCACCCCAGGTGATGCTGTGGTCCTGGGATGCAGGCAGCCTCACTTCCCTCTGTGGAAGTGGTCGCCAGAAATGGGTATGGTGGGTAACACCCAGCATGCATTTTGGAGGTCTTGCAGCCCTCTTCCAGCCCAGGCCAGTCATAGCCTCTCCTAGGTTCTCTTCTGACCGAGACTCCAGCTCCAGGTTGGCGCCTGGTGCTCTGGGGTCCAGGATAGCAGTGCTAGGACCACCTAGAGAGTCTATTCTGACTGGAGGCTGGTCAGGGTCTGAACACCTTCTCTAGTATTTCCCAGCCAGACTCTATTCATTTCCTCACTCACTGACACCCCACCTCCGCACAGGACTGCACCCCTCTCTGAGGCAGGCTGGGAATGCCCTGGAGGGGTTTTTTTTGTTGTTGTTTTTATCTTTTTGAGACAGGGTCTCCCTGTAGCCCCAGCTGTCCTGGAACTCACTATGTAGACCAGGCTGGCCTTGAACTCACAGAGATCCGCCTGCCTCGGCCTCGCCAGTGCTGGGATTAAAGGCATGTGCCACCGCACCTGGCTGCCCTGGAGGTTTTTAAGTTTAGGAAGCTCCAGAAAGTGCCTGTGCTGGATAGCTTCTGTTATCAACTTGACACGCCTGGGAAGAGGGAACCTGAAGGGGGTAATTTCCTCTATGGAATTGGATTGTGCGGCATTTTCTTGACTACTGAATGATGTCGGAGGGCCCAGCCCACTGTGGGCTGTACCACCCTTGGGCAGGTGGTCCTGGGTTGTATAAGAAAGCAGGCTGAACACAGGCCAGAGGAGTAAGCAGTGTTCCTCCATGGCCTGTGCTTCAGCTCCTGCCTCCAGGTTCCTGCCCCAGCTTCCCTCCTTAATGAATGTGATTGAGACGTGTAAGTCAAATAAACCTTTTCCTCCCCAAGTTGGTTTTGGTCAGAGTGTTTTATCACAGCAATAAAAAGCTAACCAGGACAAGTGCCCAAATATGCATATTTTTCTTTTTTAAATTTAATTAAAAATTTAAATTATGTGTATATTTGTGGGACTGTTATGTGCACGTGAGTGCAGGTGCCCATGGAGGCCCAAAGAGGACATCAGACCTCCTGGAGCTGGAGTTACAGGTGGTTCTGAGTGCTGGGAACTGAACTCCAAATCTTCAAGAACAGGCAAGTGCTCTAAACCACTGAGCCATCTCTCCAACCCTGTAAAACTGTATTTTTCTAGGGAGAAAGTCTTTATGGCTTACTCTGGTTCTCATCCATGTTCATGGCCCCAAAAGGCTGGAGTATAGGAGAGAGCCCATGTGGACTTCTGACCCTTGCTGGGGTGGTATCTAGAACAGCCCCTGGAGAAGTGGCCAATACCCAGAAGTTGGACAGGAGCTTCTATGTCACCAGGCTGTTCTACTCCTAGGTGTCCACTAGAATACAGCATGGGGGGAGGGGTTGCACATCATACAGTGGTCAGTGGCTGTCAACCCCCAGGTGTCCACTGACAGAACGGCTGATGACGCATAGTTACATTCATAACCTGAAACACCAGGCAGCAATGAAAAAGAATGGCCTCCCTCTATGGGACTTATTCCCATACAACAGTTGTTTAATGAACACCTGCTAAGTACCAGGCACTTTTTTCAGCATTAGGCCCAGGGTACTAAGCAGGGAAGACAAAGTCCTGCCAAGATTTACATTCTGGCGAGCAAAGCAGACATCAGTGGACCTGCCTAGAAGATAACTTTAGAGTATGATGTGAGAGTCCTAGAGTGCAGCTGCCAGTGAGGGCAGTGGCCAGTGTTGAGGGAGACAAAGTGACCTGCAAATCATGTTAAAAAAAAAACAAAACAGGGGCTAGAGAGATGGTTCATCAGTTAAGAGCACTGACTGCTCTTGCAGAGGACCCGGGTTCGATTCCCAGCACCCACATGGTGGCTACGGACCGTCCTTAACTCCAGTTCCAGGGGAATCTGAGGCCCTCTTCTGACCCCCGAGGCATTGCACAACATGGGTGCACTCACATACATGCAGGCAATACACTCATACACATAAAATAAAAAAAATATATAAAAGAATGGCAATGGCACTGGGGAGATGGCTTTTGGTAAAGTGCTTGCTATATAAGCATTGGGACCTGAGCTCGGCCCCCCAGAACCCACCTCAGAAGTTAGACATGGTATGTGCACCTGCAATCCCAGTGCTGGGCGGGGGGAGGGGGGAGACAGTGACTAAGAAAGTACCCTTGGTTGACCCCTGGCCTCCACATGTGCACACATGCACATACACGTATGCACACACAAAACTCTTGAACACAAAAATGTTCTACACACACACACACACACACACACACACACACACGCACACGCACACTTGGTCATTGTCCGAAAAGGTCAAAGGAACAGCCAGGGCTACAACTCAGAAAGAGCTTCAGCTTTGCACTTGCATTTTAACCACAAATATTTAAATATTTAACCTTTTAATATCTTTTGGATTTTTGTGAGTCAGAGTCTCATTATATAACCCAGGTTTACGTTAAACTTGCAATCCTCCTGCCTGGGTCTCCTGAGTGCTGGGATTATAGGCATGTACCTGCATGCCCACTTTACTATCTTGATATCTAATCTTAAAAAAGATTTTATTTCTTTTTATCTTATGTGTATGAGTGCTTTGCCTGCATGTAAATGCAACCCATGGAGACCAGAAGAGGACGTTGGATCCCCTGCAATTGGAGTTACAGAAGGTTGTTAGCTGCCATGTGGGTGCTGGGAACTGAACCCAGGTCTTCTGCAGGAGCAGCCAACTGCTGAGCCATCTCCCCAGCTCCCTTAATGTCAAATCTTTCTTTCTTTTTCAATTATTATTTTTATGTGTATGTGTGTATTACCTGCATATAGGTAAATGCACCCATGTCGTGCAGCGCCCGCAGAGGACAGAAGAGGCTGTGGGATCCCCCCTGAAACTGGAGTTAACAGACAGCTGTTAGTTGCCATGTGGGTGCTGGTATTCGAACCCGGGTCTTCTGCAAGAACGGCCAGTGTTCTTAACCACTGAGCCATCTCTCCAGCCCCTAATGTCTAATCTTAATGGAAGTAAATATACTCATGTACAACTGTGGAATTAAAATTTCAGTCTACTATGGTGGAAGGGGCTGGTTCCAGGGTCTCGGGAAGCCTTAAGGGCTCCATACGTTGCCTTTTCTTGAGGGCAGGGAAGGGGACACATGCTATCATGAGACCTCAAGAAGCACATGGCCCAGCTTGGAAGGGCTGATAGCTTTTTCAAGGTGCCTCCTGTAGAAGAATCCAGCACCCCAGTGTATACAGGAAACAGGCCCAGAGCCATGACCTGTGTGAAGCGTGGAGCAAGAGCTGGCTGGGTGAGCAGAACCTGAGGTCCAGAAGCCAGCCACATGTCCTCAGGCCTGAACCACCGGTTCTCTGGGCAACCCCAGTCCTTCCTTCACCAAGCTCTCCAGGCCAGGCCTCCCCCCCCCGACCCCCCGCCCCCCAGCTGGAGCTCTGCTCCAGGGGCAGGAAAGCAGCGCCACCTGCTGGCCGCGAAGGGAAATGCTACCCAGTCCCACTTTACAGCCTTTTAACACTACCCAGCCTTTGCCCACCCCTTCTCATTTCTTTCATTCTCTCTGATTGAATCTAGTATGCCAGGCAAATGTTCTACTTCTGAGCTTCATTCTCAGCCCTTTTCCATTTGTATTTGGAGACAGAGTTTCACTAAGTTACCCAGGCTGGCCTGGAACAAACTATGCAGCCAAAGCTAGCTTGAATTTGTGACCTTCCTGCCTCAGTTTTAAGTACTGGGATTATACTTAAGGGCCATGCCTGGTTACCTGCTGCTTTTCTGGAATGACCTGAGCTTCCACCCCATTGTTTCCTCCACTGAGAGCAAGCCTGGTTGGGCTTCAGAGAGGAGAACTGCCCAGCCCAGGAGGTGCATGAAGCTTTTTTTTTTTTTTTTGGTCTTTTTGACACAGGGTTTCCTGGTAGCCCCAGCTGTCCTGGAACTCAGTGTGTAGACCAGGCTGGCCTTGACTCAGAGATCCGCCTGCCTCTGCCTCCCAAGTGCTGGGATTAAAGGCGTGCGCCACCATGCCCAGCCACCAAGCCTTCTTGATTTGAGAAGCAAAACAGCATTTTGCAACAGTCCTCCACTTTCCTGATGATTGTTGCAAAGTTACGGATGCACAGCTCATTTAACAGCTTAGAGGACACCCCTTGCTTCCAGGGAAGGGAAAGACCTGCCCAAGCCTGTTCAGAACCCAGGTTTGCTGGGCATAGCCCAAGGGTCCAGCACACTTGAAAGCAAGCTGTTTTTTTTATTTTATTTTATGTGTATGGGTATATTGCCTGCATGTAGGTGAGTGCACCTGTGTCTTGCAATGCCACAGAGGTCAGAAAAGGGCTTCGGATTCCCTTGAACTAGAGTTAAGGACGGTTTGTAGCTGCCATGTGGGTGCTGGGACTCAACAACTGGTCCTCAGCAAGAGCACTCAGTGTTCTTAACTGCTGAGCCATCTCTCCAGCCCCACAAGTTGTTTTCTAAATAGAGTCCCTGCTGTGCTCCCTAACCAGCAACTGCTTCTATAACTTCCTAGAAATGCATGTTTGTGGGGCCTCAGACTAGCCGAATCCCCAGGGGTGGAGGCTCAGCAAACCCAAGCAGAAACACTGGGCTAAAGCCACTGCATTGGTGTGTGTGTGTGCGTGTGTGTGTGTGTGTGCGTGTGTGACTGTTTTGTTATTTATTTATTTATTATTTACTTATTTATTTATTTATTTATTTTAGGCAGGGTCTCCCTGTAGCCCCAGCTGGCCTGGAACTTGCTATGTAGACCAGGCTGGCCTCAATCTCATAGAGATCCGCCTGCACCTGCCTCCCAAGTGCTGGAATTAAAGGTGTGGGCACACATCACCCAGCTCTGTGATTTTTTTTCATTAAATAAACTTTTATTTTGGGTAATGATTTAGATTTACAGAAAAGTTGTGGAGACAGTACAAATGCCCTAACCAAGAGTCAAAAATAACTAAAATCCAGACTGTGTCAGAGTACAGGCTGATCTGCTAAATGTCCTTTATTTTTGGTCCTAAGATCAGCTATCGATGACACATTGCATCTTAACCCTTTTCAGTCTCATTTCTGGGAACATTCAGTGGGTAGGAAAGCTGTTGTCCTCATTATTGAGCTGGGGAAACTGAGGCTTGAAAATGTCAAGTGACTATACTCCCTGGCCTCCAGGACCCTTGGTTTGCAGAAGCCCCTCTGAAATGTTCCACCTGCCCACCCCCATCTGGAAGGGAGAGAGTCCTGCTGGAGGAGACTCAGACCTAGGGGCTATTCACGCCACCACCTCTTCTAGGGAAGTGTCTTAGGGCTCATATTTAGTAAGGCAAGGCCCTGTGTGTGAGGAATGCATGTGTGCAAGTGAGAAAAAAATACTGCCACTTGCCCACCAAGACTCATCTCTGATAGACCAACAATGGTCCCATGTTCTGCTCTCTTGGAACCCTGAGGCCACTAAGCCTCCCAGGCCAACACCTGCCATTTGCCATGGGCCCAGGTAATACCAGTAGAGCTGCCCAGATGAGCCCAGCCCAAAGTGCCATCCCACAGAATTGTGAATAAATAATACCTTTTCAGCTGTTAAGTTTGGAGATAGCTTGTTATGCAGCAAAAGCTAACTGATACACACAGCTCTTCCTCCTCTCTTGCTAATGAGATCCCAATTTTATTTCAGGAGGAAGAGTGCCAGTTCCAGGGGAACTGGAACAAGGCAGTTATATTCAGCTATGACAATGTTTTCTAATGTCTGCTTTCTTGCAGCTGTGGGTGACAAAGGTGTCTAGCTCAAAGGAGTGAACAGGACCCGGAATGAAGTTTTCCTTTCTGGTAGAGGTCGAAATTTCTAGTGGGTTTCTCCCTTCCTCTCCTCTCCCTGCTTTCCTTCTTTAGTATAGACATGATTCCTGGAGATATAGCAGTCATATTCTGACCATGGAGTAAGAAATGATGAGGACAAGGCCAAAGGATTAGAGAGGAATCCCTACCTTCGCTGAGCTGTTGACATAATACTTGATAGTACTAAGTGCTCCAGGATTCAGACTCTGCTCTCACTGACGCCACAGTGACCCAGGTTTCCCTTTACTTCCTAGTACCAAGTCCATGAAGGCAGAGGATAGTCTAAAGACAAAAATGGTGTGTGTGTGTGGGGGGGGCGTTCTCTGTCTTCAAATCCATCTCTTTTCTTACTTCCTCCACAATCCCATTTTCACAAACCGGGCTCCCTCATTGTTCAGCATGTGTGCCAGACCTGGCTAGGGCAGAGGCACTGAGAGTCAGACCTCCTTCCTCAGGTCCACAGAGAACATTTCCCTCCTAAGGCTTCTGCCCACTGGGGGCCAGGTGCACCTTCTGGGTTCTAGGAGGCAGTGCTGGTATGCAGGGGCAGGTGCTTGGAGGGCTGCTACTGCAAGTCTGGTGTGGATGCGCCCAGGTATACCTTCAGGTCTGAGAGGGTGGACCGCACCAGCTTGGCAGGGATGGTCTCTTGCTGAAGCTGCTGGTAGGCCGCGTAACGGTGGCAGCCTCCAAAGGAATAGAAGTAGTCACCACCCTGGGCCCCTTTGATCCAGAGGACGTCAATGGGGGGCACACTGTTGGGGTCCTCCTGGAGAGAAGAGCGCACAGAGTGAGTTTGCAATTGTTTTGTTAAGCCATGTGGAGCTCCAACAGGGTGCTCATGCTGACAGGAGCAGCCACTGAGGAGTTCTGCAAGCTGGTGGGTGGCACCTTGGCACTCCCAGAAGGGGAGTGGAAGATGCTGCAAGTGAGGGGCTCCCCAGGAGACTAGGTGTGGAGCATCATCTCCACCCATGTGAACGTTACAGCCACGGACCCACCTGCCTGCACTTGGAGGACATGACAGAGGGGAGGCAAGGAGAATCTCACCTTCACAGGGCAGACCCAAAGAGATGAATAACAGAAAGACAAATGCCATGAAGACAGTCAACAGGTGACAGGTGACAGGCCAGGGAGGAAGCCCCCAGGTCTCTCTGAGGTGACAAGGGGCAGAGAACTGCTAAGAAAGCTAGCAGCATAAGTTAGATTAAGAGCCCCACTGCCAGAACTTCAGCTCCTCTGCAGAGCAGCTGGGGATCAGAATGGGGGTCTCCCATGTTCAGCCAGCTTAGGAAGCTGATACTTGAGGGGCCTCAGTGGAGCCTTGCCCAGGAGCAGCCACAGCCTTGTGGGAGGGCAGACATGATAGTGGGTTGGCAGAAGAAAGGTCCCTCAGGTTGCTCACTACCTAGTCCTTAGGGAATGTGAATATGCACTTTCCACACTAGAAAGGCGTCTGCTGAGACTGGGAGATTACCCTGGGTTACCCAGGCAGGTTGAGTATAACCATCAGGGTCTTTGAAAGTGGAAGCCTATGGCAAAAGGAATCAGTGGGACTTGAGGTTGGAAGGGTTCCACCTGCTGCTGATGCTGCTTTGAAGGAGAGGAAAGGCCCTGAGCTAAGTGGGGGCAAGGAGCTGGTAAGTGTGATGGTTAAGCTCAACTGTCAGCTTGATGAGATCTAGAATCACCCAGGAAGCAGGCCTCTCTGGGCATGCTTGTGGGAGATTATCTTGGTTAGGTTAATAGATGAGAAGACAATCCCACTGAGGGTGGCTCCATTCCCTAGGCTGGGATCCTGGAATGTCTAAAAGGGGGAAAGTGAGCTAAGTACAAGCATTCATTCATCATTAATATTTTTATTTATTATTTTTATTTTATGTGTATGAGTGTATTGCCTGCATGTATGTGAGTGCACCCGTGCCATGCAATGCCTTGGAGGTCAGAAGAGGGTGTTGGATTCCCCTGGAACTGGAGTTAAGGAGGTTCGTAGCCACCATGTGGGTGCTGGGAATTGAACCTGGGGTCCTCCGCAAGAGCAGTCAGTGCTCTTAACCACTGAGCCATCTCTCCAGCCCCCTCATTCATCAGTTTTAATGAGGATGCAATATGACCAGGTGCCTGCCAGTAGGATTTCCACACACGATGGACTGTACCCTTGAACTGTGAGTCAAAATGTACCTTTTTACCTTTAATTTGCTTTCATCAGGGACTTTTATCACAGCAACAGGATAAGTAACTAAGACACTGAGGAAGTGTATTTCTCCTGAGGATCTACAGAATATAGTGCTGCTTAGTCCAACAATACATGCTTTGAGCTGGACCTGGTGGTGTACACCTGTAATCCAGCACTCAGGAACTAAGAAGAATCCTGAATTTGAGGCCAGCCTGGGCTATTCAGGAGACCGTCTTAAAAAAAAAAAAATCCAAATAAGAAAATTAAAAAGCATTATTTCAGACTTTTCAACCACAGAACATGTATGTGTTGTTTTTAGCTATCAAGTTGTTACGTTCCAGTGACATTATGGTCCTTATCCCCACAGAGCGTGTGGTTCCAGCATGGGAGGCAGATGTCCAAACAGGCCATTAAAAACCCAGTGGGATCCCAGCCGTGCTAGTGGGTATCCACGTGGTTGTGAGGTCACAGAAGGCCCGTAGCACAGTAGGTGGGCAGAGGAGACATTGACACCATGGCAAAGAGACTGAGGAGTTAGAATTAAAGAGAGGAATGGGCTGGGGACACAGCTCAGTGGTAGAGTGCTTGCCCAGCACACCAAAGGCCCTGGGTTTCATCCTCAGCATCACATCCACAAAAAAACCTAAAGAACAAAATGGAGATGATGTAGAGCTTCCTGTCAGGGCATAAGCCGGTACAAAGGCCCAGTGGTACAGTGGGCACATTCAGGGCTAAATCCCCTTCCCACAAAGAGCCAGGCCGGTGTAAAGAGCAACAGTCGAGGTGGCCACGTTCCTGCTCTTTTAGAGTTCACACAGGAAGGCAGACATTAAAGACACATAAATAATGTGCGTTGTAATTTCAAATGGACACAATGCTGTAGAGAAAAGGACCTCAGGCCAGAGAGGAGAAGACAGATAGGGAAGCAGCGGTGCAGATTCTAGGACTGAAAGATATCCAGGGGACTTAGGGGTCTCTAGTGCCCAGTGTCCAAGGGTCTGGGAGAAGGGACAGGGCACCCCTAGCCTAGCCTCACACAAGTGTTCTGGTGTCACTGTTCCCTACAGTTCCTGATGGGTTGATCCTTGTCCTCTCCCACTTCCCATTCACTCAAGGTCCTCCCAGCAGACATGACGCACCCAGTCCCACTGCCACAGGCTGCCATGACCAGAGGGTTTTGGGTTAGTGAGGTGGCCAAGCAACTGGCCAAGGGTCCACGTTGCCTGGATGTGAAGTCCCACCCTGCTGCCTTCTAAGTGCTTCTTCCGGTGCCTCAGTTTCCCCTCCCCTAAAGTAGGAGCGTTGGCACTAGAAGCTTAGGGATTTAAAACAGCTCAGGGCTAACCACTTTCAGTATGCGCCCGTTCTTGGCCAAGTGAGGAACCTGAGGCCCAGGAAGGCCCAGCCGCTCAGCCAAGGTCCCATGGCCAGGCGGGGCTCTGTCCGGCCAGCGTTCACGCGCCCCGTCCCGCGGGCCCTCTCGCTCTCCCTCCCTCCGGCGGGCTGGCCAGCTCCGCGGGCTCACCCGGATCGTGTCCACGAGGCTTTGCACCTTGGCCGGGTCCAGCACCGACGGGAGCGGCCGGATGAGAACGCTGATCGGCACGTTGTGAACCGCGGCAATGCAGCCCGAGTGGATGCTGCTGCCCTGCGAGCCGCCGCTTGGCCCAGGTCCCTCCGGTGCCCCGCGTCCCGCTCCCGCCCGGCCCAGCGCTCCGCCCGCGCGCAACCCCATCACGCTGCCTCAGCTGCCCGCGCCGCCTGCCTGATCACCCGCTTCACCGGGCCGGGCTGTACCATCGCGCTGCAGGTGGGGGCGACCGGGGAGGCGGTTCGCTCCTCACGGCCCGAGTGGCCCAGCCCGGGCCGCAATGGCGCCGCACGCTCCGCCCACCCCGCTGCCCGCTGCGCCCCCCGCTACCCCCTCGGGAGCGCGGAGTGGACGCGCCCGGACGCTGACTCAGGGTGAGTCTGCAGGTCCCGGGGCGGCGGCGCGCGTGACGCACGCTGTGGTGACTCAGGCCTGCGGAGGCGGGGACGCGGGCGGCGGGACCTGCACGGCGCGGATGAGGCGGCAAAGCGGGCCGGGGCAGTCGGGGACAGTGGCCACCGCTCGGTAAAGCAGGAATGTGGCGATCTCCTCAACCCAACGCGACCTTGCTTGCTAGGCACGGCGCCAGTCCCATTTTGCAGAAAAGAAAATCGAGGCACAGAGAAGTTGTGTGATTGTGGATAGAGCTATTGCGGGGGGTGAACACATACGTGTTCTGTGGTTGAAAAGTCTGAAATAATGCTTTTTAATTTTTTCACGCAACCCAGCACCATAGTCCGCCCTGGGTTCCCCCGTGGGCTTCCGGGGCTTTGCGACACGAACTAACCACAGCGGACAAGGTGTGGTCCGGCCCTGAAGTTCCACACAGGTGCACAGAGTCCTTTAAGCACATCCAGGAAGTAGGTGTGGTGACCGGAGGCCCTCCCCTAGATTGGTCCGCTGAAAATGAGAGTCAGGTTACAAGTAGGCTGGGGCTGGAGCTGCGGCTGCGTGTCCCCTCTCTTGGTGACATGGCAGTTCACTTGGGATGGGAGACACAGCTTCAGAAGGAGGTGACCCCGGCAGGTGCTTAGGGAGAGGAGCCATACCAATAAAGGACACGGATGACAAAATGAACTTGGGCAACTGGGGCTTGTTCCTGAAAAGCCGTCCTGCACCCCTCTGGGGACACAGACCTCACTGGTTGAGGGTGGCTGCCCTGCTCTTGAATGAAGCAGACTTCTGGAGACCCAGAGGTATACACCTGAGAGGTGTCCAAGGGATCAAGAGGCAGGACACCAGTAAATTGCTTTCCTGTCCCAGTGGGCTGAAGTTCAGGTAGGAGGTATAAACTGAAGTTCTCAGAGAGAAGCCCCGCCTACATTGAACATTCTCTAAAGGCTGATTGACTGATAAGAACTTCAGTGATTTTGGAGAGAGGTTGGAATGTTGCAGGTCCAGAGCCAAGTATCCTGGGCTATCCTGACCTAACTTCCTTGTGACTGTCAAATGAAACCTTTTGAGATGTGTTAATAGACCACTAGCTTCTGCCAACCCGAAACCTAAGCATGTCATCAGATTGTACCCGGGGCTATCGCAGAGGTTTCTCTTACTTTGTCGTGAACTCATCTACTTGAGATTCCCACCATGTATTTGAAAAGTATGTTGACTTATTACTTTGTTCTGTTACTGTAAAAACTTCATAAAGCTGTGACCATGTTGGGACGTGGAATTTGGGGTAACCTAAATCTGTGTTCCTGCGCCATGGTCCCTCATACTTGGCTCCAGAATAAAGTAGTTCTTACTGGGTGTGGTGGCACACATCTTTAGTCCCAACACTGGGGAGGCAGAGGCAGGTAGATCTCTTTGAGTTCAGGGCCAGCCTGGTTTACATATTAAGTTCCAGGCCAGCTGGGGCTACAGGGAGACCCTATCTCAAAAAGACCAAAAAAAAAAAAAGTAAGGGGCTGGAGAGATGGCTTGGTGGTTAAGAGCACTGGCTGTTCTTGCACCCACATGGTGGTTAAAAACTCCAGTTGCAGAGGATCCAGCGCCCTCTTCTGTCCTCTGAAGGCACTGCATGACACGGGTAACACTCATACACATAAAAATAAAATAAAATAAATAAATAAATAAATAAATAAATAAGCTCTTATCCCCTTGGAAGTGTTGGTAGAGGCTTGCCTTCAGAGGCCCTGGCTCTCTGCTCTTCCCTTAGCTGGCAGACCTGGAGGTGGTGCCAGTTTACACCATTTAATTTTGACAGAGAATCTTGTGTGTGAGGCTTTCAGACATGTAGAGGACTTTCCCCAGTGTTTGGAAGGTGGAAGGATTACAGGGCCAATCAGTTTGAAGCCCCTCCCCCAACCTGCTTAGCCATTTCTCCATCTTGGGTGACTAGCCTCTGCCTTGTCACTGGCCCCTTCTTGTTTTCTTCTCCAGCTCCTCTTCTTCCTGTCAGCTCCTCGGTTCCTGTTTTCATTTCATGCTGGCTTGCCTCTTTCTTTTGCATCTTTGGTGCCTGTTGAGCATTTCCTTGGGGTCCAGAGGCAGCTTTGCACTTCATCTCCATCTCCTCATGGTCATCCTGGGTGACTCAAGCTAGCCTAATCAGACTAACTGGAGAAAATTCAGTGCCATCACCTCTGCTATGTAATCTCTCTCCTCTGGATGTGAACAAAGAAGGTTGTCTGGGTTTGCACTAGCAGCTATCTTGTGACCATGAGGGGCTGACGGGACAAAGAGGAGCTTAAAATTACACAATATGAGATGTGTGATATGGAGGCAGTTACTGTGGCTCAGTTTTCTGACCTGCAAAATGGACAAAATAATGTCAATTTGTGTGGTTGCTGGGAGATGAAAAAAAAAAAGTTAGATAATATCCCTAGACCATTGCCTGCCTGCCAGCACCTTGTAAGAGCTCAGTACTTACTATTTGCATTTTAAACTAATAACTTCTTTTGAAGGTTTGTTTAGTTCCACATTTCCATACTAGTCTCCATGTCTTTGCCCAGGCTTTTGTTGTTGTTCTCAAAATAGGGTCTCACTATGTAGCCCAGGCTGGCCTTGAACAGGAAAACCTCCTATCTCAGCCTCTTGAGTAGTGGGATTACAGGTGTGCACCATCAGACCAGGCTTAATTCAGACTCTCTTACAACTGAGAGAAAGCCAGTGTGAATCAGTGTGATGAATCTGGTGGGGGGGCGGTGGCTACTCCCCTGACTGTGGGTGGAACCGAACCTCTAGGAACAGGACTCTGAGATTTCTTTCTCATTTAGCAGGAGGGATTAGCTCTCTATGGCAGGAATATGGCTGCCTTAGGAGGAAGAAGAGGAGGAGGAGAAGAGGGGGAAAGAAGAGAAATAAGAGGGAGAGATAGGAAGGGGGAGGAGAAGGAAGGAAGGGGGAGGAGGAGGAGGAGGAGGGGGAAAAGCCATTTAGAAGTAGTACTTTCCAGGGTTGGGGTGGCTGCTCCATACTCACTAAGTAGGCATGGGCCTTTTCCAACTTTCTGCTCCATCATTTTATTTTATTATTTATTAAAATTTTATTTATTTATATAGTTTTACTTTATGTGTATGAGTGTTTTGCCTGAGTGTATGTAAATACACCACATGTGTGCAATGCCCTAGGAGGCCAGGAGAGGACATAGGATCCCCTAGAACTGAAGTTATGGACAGGTGCTAGCTGCCATGTGGATGTTGGGAACTGAACCTGGGTCCTCTGCAAGAGCAGCCACTGCTCTTAATGACTGAACCATCTCTCTAGCCCCCTATTCTTTATTTTTCAAACAAGGTCTCATTATATGTTCTTGCTGGCCCAGAGCTCACTGTGTAGTCCAGGCTGGCCTTGAACTTGTGTGATCCTACTACCTCTGCCTCCTGAGGACAGGGATTACAGATGTGTGCCACTGTGCCCAGCACTGCTCCATCGTTTTAAAGCAAAGTTTTTAATTCTTTAGGTTACCTCTTGATTCAAGAGAAGAGCCAGCCATTTCATGCCAAGTCTGAACCTGGAAAGAAGTGGAAATAGAGAAAAGCAAAGGAAGGGACCCGCCCTTGTTTGGATACTGCTTCACAGGTTCCACCTAAGAATTCCCCTGGGTGTCACTGACCAGGTGTCTTGGTCACCCTGAGTGCACAGGCAGCTAGGATATGTTGTCTTATTTACTACATTTAATTTTTTATGTGTATGAGTGCTGTACCTATGTGTGCAACGCCCTCGGAGTCCAGAAGAAGGCATCAGATCCCCTGTAACTTAAGTTACAGATGGTTGTTAGTCACCATGTGGGTGCTGGGAACCAAACTCGGGTCCTTTGGAAGAGCAGCCAGTGCCCATAACCGCTGAGCCATCTCTCTGGCCCCAGGGTATGTAGTCTTCATTCTTAGTGGCAAGATGCTCAGCTGCAGTTGGAGCTTCTTACCAACAAAGGGGTGAATAGATACCAATAAGTAACTGGCAGTCTGAGCCACAGCTTCCAAGTTGCAAGTCTTATGGCACAGAGAGGAGGAGAGAGGGAGAACATTTGCAGTTTCTGCTCAGATGCCTGCATTTGGGGTGGGGGGAAGCAGCTATTTTTAAAAGCATGAGCTATCATCATTGATCATGACTTAAATGCATGGAGTTCATCCAAAACCAAATACTGGTTGCTATTGGCTAGGTGTTGTGCTAGACCCAAAGGGTTTAATGATGTGCAAAAAGACACTGTCAATCCATTTCATGAAGCTTTTGGCCTAGTGGGGGGAAACAGGGAATGACAGGAAATGATCCGCGGATTCTCAGGAAGGAATGTCACTGGAAAGTACAGAACGGTGGCCCATGGCTCCTGAGGAAGTCTCCTGATTTTCATGAGCAGCTAGCATAGCACACCACACGCTGTATGGCTTATAAACCACGGGATTTTATCACAGTTCTGGAGGTAAAGAAGTCTAAGAGCGAGATGCCTCTACACCTTCCCACCTCTAGATTCTGATGTTAAAATCCTGGCACTTACTGGGTGTGCTGGTGCATGCCTATAATTCTAGCATTTGAGAGGTAGAGGTAGGAGGAGCAGGAGTTCAAGGCTAGCCTGGGCTACATGAGGCCCCATCGCAAAAATTAAAACAAACTTCAAAACCCCCAATCCTGGCCCTCTATAATGGTATTAGGGGGTGAGCCTTTGAGAGGGGAATGGTCTTGAGGGTGGAGTACTCAGAAGTTGGATTTGTGTCTCTATGAGAGACCTTGGGTGTTCCATCGCTCCTTCCACCATGTGAGACAGGGAGAAGATAGAAGATAGCTTCAAAACAGGAAGCAAGCCCTCACTATGCACCAAGAATGTGGTACTCTTTCCATTAAGTGCTTCCCAGCTTCCAGAACTGTGAGGAATGACTTTCTTCTATTTATAAGCAGTCTATGGTAGTGCTAGTAACTAAAAGTTGATCCTGAAAGGAGGGATGAGGGCTAAACTAAATATCTAAAAATGAGGAAGTAACTTTGAACCTAAGTGATGGGAAAGGCTGAAAGGGTTTGGAGGTGCCTTTGAGGGTAATTCTGATGAAGGGCTCAAAGAGACAGTAGAGGAGACCTCTGTCTTCTCAGAGGACTCCTATGGAGCCCTGAACACAATGTTGCTAGGAACACAGGAAGAAAAGGGCATTCAGATTGGTATTTAGCCTTGTGGCTGAGATCAGGTGAAGAAGGCTGTGCTGATGAGGTATCAGGCAGCAACCAGGAACATGCTTTTAGACAGTGGTTAAAAGGCCATCTTTGTTACCAATGGCAAAGAACTTGGCTGCTTGACCCTCTGATGGCCTGTGGGTCATAGAAGTTGTGAGCAAGGACATTGGGCTTAGCTGAAGGTCTTTCTAAGCTAAGTGCTGCAGTGCCTCTTGGCTTTTTGGACTCTTCGTAGTAAAGTATGGACATGTTGGAGGCTGCTGATTTACAGGAACTGACTCTGGAGACGCTGCTTTACCTGAACTCTCTAACACAGAACTGACATGCAGCTGAATTGTGTTAATCAAAAAGAAGAAAAATGTCCATTGGAAAATCCTCAGCAAATAAAGGATGTTTTGGAGAACACTAAGGCTATGGGCAAGGGTTGTCTGCATACAAGTTATTTAGGTGTGAATCAGGAACTTAACCACCACAGCAGGACACCTGCTAGCTTATACAGAAAGGGAGGGGGATGGAAAGAATGGAAGCCTGTCAGGCTTGGACTTTACAGGACAGTTTTTGGAACTGTTCGACTGGGAACTACAAGCTCTACTTCAAGACAAGGGAAGAATGATTCAGAAGGCAGTTCCGAAATCATCATGATTGCCCCTTTTGCTCAGAAATGGAGAACACTGTGTTCTTTGCAGTGGGCTAGGATGTCCAGAGTCCTGGTGGCCACAAGGCCTGCTGGGAAGCTACAGCTGTGGAAACAGGACTACCATCACAGTGTGTCCATGGGGTGGGACTGAAAAGTTGCCCCTGTCGGCCTGGAGGGCGCATTTGTGTGTGTGTGTGTGTGTGTGTGTGTACACCTGTATATGTAGTTGGGTTCACCTGTGAGTGCATGTGTGGAAGTCAGACGTCAACTCTGAGTATCTTTATCCTTCTCCACCTTTTTTTTTTTTTTTTTGAGACCATGTCTCTCACTGAATTTGTAGCTATTTGGGCTAGACTGGCTTATAGTGAGCCCCTGGGATCAACCTATCTTCCCCTGAACTCCCCATCCCACCCTAGCACTGGGTTTTCAGGCACACCATGCCTGGCTTTTACTTGGGTCCTGGGGATCCAAGCCCAGGTCCTCATACTTATGCAGCAAGCACTTTACCCAATGAGTGCCCTCATACCCTGTTTTTTTTTTTTTAATAGGCAGGATCTTACTCCTTAGCTTAGGGTGACCTAGAACTATTTAGCCCAAGCTGACCTTGAACTCAAGGCAGTCCTTCTACCTCAGCCTCCCAAGTGCATTGATCATCATGCCCAGCTTGAGAAATAAATTTTTGTTTCTTAGCCATCCAGTCTATTTTAGCAGCCCAAACAAATATATAGTTATGAGGAGATCTCAACTTTTGGAAAGATTTCCTGAGGCTGCTGTGTAAAGGAGGCACAACAGATTCCAGGAGACCCATGAGAGGCTGGTGCAGCGGTCCAGGTAGATGATGGTGGTTCTGGACAAGGTGGAGACAAGAAGATAGAGAGGAAGAGGGGGCTGGGTACTGGTAATGGGTTGGGCAGTAGGGCAGGGGGGAACCTTGGGAAAAGCAACTTCTGGGCTTACTGTCGGCAGGACTATGTGTAGGTAGCCACTGTTGGAGGCAGGAAACTCTGGAGAACTGGGTCCTGGCTTCAGACTCAGACTGGTCTCTGTGCTTGGGGTATCAGGAGGAGGAGCCCTGAAGGCTGATACGGAGTTGCAGTTCAGAGAGGAGCTAGGAATTTGAACAGTAAGCTGGGGGTCCCCTGTATGTGGATGGAAACTGAATCACAGGTAAGACGTTACAAGAACAGGATCTGGGCTCCTGCCTTGGCTGCTTGAAGGTATATCAGCAAAATTGTTGGGTGCACAGAGGAGAACCAGTGACACGGAGGCTTTGAAGGCTTGATGACGAGCAGACTTCGGCCTTATGCCAGTCAAGAGGCCTTGGCCTGTGGGTAAGGAGCCTGACAGCTGAAACAATAAATGTCACCAGCTGTGAAGGTTCAGGGTAGCTTTTCTAGTAATTCCCCAGTGCCTTCAAGGACACAGGCTGTGTCAACATTTCATGCTAAGTTGGTTCCCTTCATGGTCACTGATGCTTCCTTGTTCGTGTTCAAAGGGGAGATTGGCCTTCCTTAAGACGGGGGATGAGGGGCAGTGAATTATCCCTGAGCTTCCAGAGCCTTCTCCTTGAGTCATTGGCTCGAATCGAGTCATGTACTCTTTCCTGAACCCCTGGGTGATGGTGCAACTTGAAGTCAAGATATCCTTAAGTTGCTAATCAAGGAGGCAGGGATGGGTCTCCTGGACCACTGTGACTGGGTTGGAGACAGCCGGGAGCACCAGCATCCATCCCCATTCCCTCCTAGGGTATTGGCCTAGAACAAGGTTGGTAAGTTAAAACCACTTTTCTCAGACTTCCTGGCAGGCAAAGAGTTCTGATAGTGAATTAAATTCTGCCAGGCAAGTACACTTGTGAGGGATTTGGATGGCAGATGTTGGGCAGGTTTTTTTGTTTTTCTTTCTTTCTTACTACTTTTGACTCTTGCTGCTGTCAGCAGCATCTTGGTGGGGCTGGATTCTCTAGCAGTGTTGCAGCCCTGCCCACCAGCATATGGGAAATGGAGCCACCTACAGACAACGTGGCAGAGTCCTGGCCCTAGGACAGCACCTAGCAGTGCTATTTTGGGGATACTTCAGTGTGGAAGCAGCAGTAGCTGTTCTTTTGGTAACATTTTGAGGGCCTGACTGAGGACTCCATCCTTTCCACAGATCTTCTCAGCAGCCAGTTCCTTGCATGAACTAACTTCTTCACAGGGATTTAACTGGAGTATAAGCTCCTGGTGTAGTGTGGGGCTGCTCCTCAGCTGGATATACTGAACACCACAGGAAGCTGGGAAAGTACAACCTACAGAGGCTGCAGGTGGAAGAGTAAGGAATGCCACCCGTGCCTGCACTCCTCAGAGCCCACTGGAGACTTTGTGTTTGAGTAGGTTGAGGGAGTGTCCCACGATTTCGGTCGTTGTTGGAAACGGCACACTGTCAATTCCCAGTCACCTGTCCCAAGGTGTGTGGAGGGAAAATGACAAGGACCAGGAAGAGAGAGGGTCCAAACGTGGGTCCCCATCACAAGGTCTGGAGGCGCTAGTGAGTGGCCAAAGTCCCTTTAATATCCCTGAATTGCGTTACAAGTAATACTGCTGAAGGTGGGGTAGGGATAGGGGTCAGAGGGTGAGTTGGGGCTGGGGAGGGAGGGACCAAAAGGCTTAGCATGCATGGGGAATTATTGCTGTCAGAAGTTCCTATTTACAGGGTCAGCACCCTCCATAACTGCTTCCGGTGACCCCCCCCCCCCACCATCCCTGCAGCCTCCCAGGACAGAGCCTGGACCAGGAGGAAGCTTCGCCCTTAAGACCTAGAGAGAGGCCTCTGGAGCTGTCTCCTCCCTCTTTTGTGGCTAGGGGGTTGAGGGAGGAGGTCTGAGTGTTCAGGACTCCAGTGCCCACAAAGGGGACGCAGAGGGATGTGGGCAGAGGCATGTGCTTAAAGCAGAGGGGGCCGGGCCCTTGCGCGTGTAAGTGTGTGCTTCAGTCCTCGCCCGGGCATGCAAAAGCGCGGTGGAGGAGGTAGTGGTGGCCAACAGGCGCGTGGCTGGCAGTCCCGGCCCCTCTGCCTGGGAGAGTTGCATAGTGATGGTCGGGAGAGAGCGCTCCTCCCGGGGGGGGGGGGGGGGGGGTTAGGCCAAAGGCCCCAGCGGGGTCCGGGGCTCAGTCGGTCCCTGGAACCTGGGGTCCCTCAAAAAGAGGAATAAATAAGAAACAAAGGAGGAAGCTCCTCTCTTGGGGCTCCCTGGGGCAAGAGTGGAAGGCTCAGGAGGCCAGGGACATGCCCTGAGTGAGGACCTCCTGATGCCCACTCCCTGGCCAGCTGAGGATCAGCGGCCCCAGCCCCAATTCTCCAGGCCTCTTCCTACGGAGTTCAGGCTCCATAAGGGTAGAGCTTCTCCCTAAACTCATGAGGGTAGGAGCAGCCTGCTATGGCCTTTCCCGTCCCTCCCCTGACTTCCCAGTCCAGCTGGGGAAGCCAGACAATCCCTGGGTGAAGCCAAGAGATTAAATAGAATAATAAATAGATAAATAAATAAATACACAAATAAATAACTGAAGGGGCCCAGCCGGACAAAGAGAAGGGTCCATGGGTGAGGTGCTCCACGCTGCCCCCAGCAAAGGCAGAGAGGAACCTTGATCCTGGGGTGGGGGAAAGTGCTCAGAAAATCTGGGAGAGAGCAACTCCAGGTCTGAGGGTAGGAAGGGACTATCCTGGGTCTAGAGGGTTCACCTGAATGGGGCAGGGCCTTGGACTGCCTCCCAAGTCTGCTTCAGGTTAGAACTCTGAGGGCTGAGCGCTACTAGAGGGAACCGGTAGTGGGACAGGTAATGAGGTCCGAGAAGGCTGAACAGGGTGGAAATGTCAGGTGGGATCCGGCTGTGTGAATGGCTGGGCTTACGAAGGCCCAAGCATGGAGGTGCAGGGGAGGGACGCCAAGGCTGAGAATTAGATTCCCTGACGGACACACACAGAAAACTCAGCAGAGGCCCGAGGGATGGTCTGGGGTTGGGTTCAGGTATGGCCAGGGAAACTGAGTCAAGGGTTTGGGCCTTAGAATCAGGGTTCCAGCAGAGGAATGGTCAGTGACTCCGATGAGAAGTGAGATCTAAAGTTAGAAAAGCAGCCCTAGAGACTGGGTAGGAGAAATTTCCAATGCTGGGAGCCGGGAAGGTGCGGACCTGGTGCCTGAGTTGGGAGCCTTGAAGGCCAGACGTGGGGTCAAGGTCCGAGTGGAGGCTGGAAAGGAAGGTGTGGGTGGGGTGCGCTGGGGGAGCCGGTGCAGGAAATGAGTGGTGAGGCTGGGGGAGGAATGGAAAATAAAGTTCTGGGCCAAGATGGGTGTCACCCCCTCCCCGAGGACGCAGACGGGGGAGGGGTGTTGGAGAAGCCCCTATGGGCGCCTGCGCTAGCCCGGAAGGTGGAGACTCAGCTGGCCGGGCCGGCGGGGGGTGGTGGCTCTGCAGCCTTCACACAAGCGGCCTCGCAGTGCTTGTGGAGGTATGACTTGAGCGCGAAGCTCTTGTCGCACTGGCGGCAACGGTAGTGCTTGAAGGCCGAGTGCGTCTGCATGTGCGCGCGCAGGTTGGAGCGGTCGGCGAAGGCCTTGCCGCAGTGCGCACATCCGAAGGGCTTCTCGCCGGTATGCGAGCGCATGTGGCCCTGAAGCAGCCAGGGCCTCGAGAAAGCCTTGCCGCACACACCGCACTTATGGCGTAGGTTGTGCGTGAGCACGTGCATGGCGAGCGCGGGCATGGACACGTAGGCCTTGCCGCAAGTCGGGCACTTGCGCGCCAGCTGGCTGTCCAGGCTGCGATGCGTCTGCTTGTGGCGGCTCAGGTTAGACGACGTGGCGTACGTCTTGCCGCACTCTGCGCATGCGTGCCGGTGCCCGCCGCCCGCCGCCGTCCCCGTGCGCACGAC